TTATTGTGTTATCTGTATGTTACCGGACTTGTGTATTTCCCAAGTGAGAGTCTCCCTCCACCCACCATGGCATCTACCTACAGTCCAACTTACAGGGTTCCTCCAGCTCATCCCATGCCTTCAATTTTCTATGTAACTTCTGTGTTTATGTTCAGACATGTCATATCACCTCTCTTTAGTGTTGGTAATAATATAGATACTTGGGTCACTTCAAAACAATATTAGCTCTGCTATTTAGTGTATCCATGCATACTTCAGCAAAAAAATGCTTAAGGTAAGTGTTGGTATTATGAGTCGGTGGGTATTATGGGTAAATATTCCAAAAAGCTGCCAAACTCTGTGTAACTGCTTCCTACCGTCGGACGTTAGCCCAGCAAATCGTCGCCACATTTTAACACGTGCTGCGGGTTACTTTTGCGACAAAATAGCCAAAAGTCAAGAGGTCACAATGATTGCATCACTGACTCAAAGGGTTTAATTTGGGGGAGGTTTTAAATAATGAATGTTTTGGTCGAATTATGTTTCATTTGTGTTTTTTTTGGTTTTTTGTATATTAGTAATTATGTGAAAACACGGACTGGGGCAACGTTTGCTTCATCAAAGAATACGTTTTAAGTCGACTCATAATACCATCACTGACTCATAATTGCTGCTTTTAGAGGGTTATAAAAACAAATATTTTACATTACCGAAACCGATTTGATTTTTAGAATCGCCATGTCCTGATAGCCATGTAACATAAATTTCACTTTAATTCACCGGTATTTGTAGGAAAAATTAAGAAGAAAGTTTAGGTGGCTCAAAATACCATCATTTACCTTACCGCGCGCAACATGCGCGCCACAATCGGCATGCATGCAGTTACGGGACGCGCTTATGACTCGATGAGCTGGGATGTAGCTAGGCTGTTGGCGTTGCGGAGGGTGTTCTTTGCGGCCTACGCAGTGGCCCCAAGTAAGTCCATTCGTTCACGAATCGCACACCGCGGGAGGCTTGAGGAGAGCGGGGCCGCAGCCGATTTTCCGAGGGCTGGCCCCTCGAGAGTATTGGCAGTGCGATAGCCAGCGAAAATTCAGTCCACTGCCGCTGGAGTAGTAGAGCGAGGGATCAAAGGTTGGCCACCATCAATGGTCGGACACTTACTCTGGGAATATCAGGGCACTAAGGCAGATCTTGACTACATCAATACAAAGCCTACACATTGACCTGCTACTCCTACAAAAATTATCCGCTCGGCTGCTTCCAAGGCGGAGCGGTTGTCCTACAAAGTCAACGTCCGAAGACTCAAAACATCGGACAAAAATATCACTTGTCGGACGGCTCCGTTTTCTTGCTCTCTTGTACACGCACCAAATCACAGGCAGCAGCTTTAAGTAAGACTACCCCTCTACTACTTGTATACAACAAGTGAAGCGAGTCCGCGTTCACACGTCGTCGCAAAATGGAATGTTTCCGCAAAGGGTCCCGCCCTCGATATCGGACGCGCATGCGCATTACTAAGGAAGAGATACTGATCATAGTTGACCAAAAATGCTTTAGCAACAGTTAAAGGTTCCATCTCTTGCTTTGTTAAAGATATCTTTACACACACGCAGTGATACCACTGGGTGCATCTTCACACTGAACCCAATTCCTGGCTCTTGTATGTTCACATGTTCCAGCAAACACATTCACCTAATATAATGACTAAAAATAAACAAACATAACAAAACTACTGTAGTCAGTCAGTTGGTGCCACCCTTGCACTGTGCTACGTTTGCACTAGAGTGAAGAATGTAAAATGCCTTACATGGTACTGCACCGTAAACAACGTACCTTCCTCTGCGGCCTATTCTCTCTCTCCTTCGTACCTGGAACTCAAGTGGAGCGACCCAACTCGGATACACATATTCCTGAGTATTACAGAGAGCTCCGTCTCGCCATCATCATTCACCTTTGGAGGCTAGCATGCTTCTTCTTTCTTCTTGGCTTTCATTTTCATTCGTTCCACCTTCTTCTTCTCCTTTTCTTGCTTTGCTTCGCCTTCTTTTTCCCGCAATTTTGCTAGACTTTCTGCACCTTGTCATACGCGGCCACATGACTTTGGACGATATTTTGTTTGTCTGTACAACGGAGAGGGACCCTAAGAATCTGCTCACTGATTGGGCGGCAGACGCAGAGTGCAGATTGTGAATTGAAAAGTGACCTGTTCGTTTGCTGCGAGTCGGCCGGTATCTGGGCAGTAGAATGAGAAGAGTGGAATTTTTCTGTCCAATCTCACCATTGGGGAAGACATAACCAGCAGCACTCCACATGCCACACGAAAGTTATCTGGTTTTGTCTCCGATCCTATGGCTGACACAGCGGCTCCTCTCACAGCAACTAGCTTTGGAGGCTTGCATCCAATGGCATGGCCACTTTCATCCATGTTAAACAATTGCCCTGGCTTTCCTACCAGGTCATTCTCCTGTATCGTCTTCTCCAGAGGGTCAAAATGCGTGCCAGCATTTCAGGATTGGTGCTTTTTGCCCGAGCGAGTGAGAGAGGTACTGTGCGCAAGGTTTGTGGGTGCAAAACAAATGGCAACCATGAGTGAGCCAGTAAGTACTAAAAACGCTCTGGGTCAACAAGGCATTTTTAAAATCCGACATTCGTATTCATCTTCATGGCCACTGACGAGGTATAATAGCTTCAATTTTTCGGGAGACTAACTCCAAAAGTGAGTAATCGAATAACGGACAAACACACACACAGATCAACTACTCCCCACTTGGCACGTGCTGAGGGTCTACAAGCATGTAAACAGATCCTCGAAACCAAATTTCCTATACAGATGTGGCATGCAATTCTACGCACCAGCAGAAAGTGATAAAAGGGCATGTGAGTTTAACCGTAGGGAATGTAGCTATACGCGACAAAGGACGCGCATGCGCAAGCACAACGTGTTCCAAGCTTTACCCGTCTTTCCCAGTTCCTCTGCAGTGGCCCTACTAGAGTCCACTAGCAGTCTGTAGATAGAAACACAACTATCATCATCACAATGTCTTAAGAGGCAAGAAAGAGATCAAACTACCAAGATCCACGCTAGCCGACGAACACGGGAAACTTGACTTGCGACCCAAAGGACGCACGCAAGCACGCAAATGCGCGTCCGATAATCGAGGGCGTACCTGCGGAAACATTCCATGTTTGCGACTTGTGTAAACGCGGACCCGCTTCACTGTGTATAACAAGTAGTAGAGGGGTTAGTCTTACATAACAGCGACTGTCTGAGGAGTGGTGGTAGAGAACAAAGAGGCAAGAACGGAGAGCGTCCGACAAGTGATACTTTTTGTCAGATGTTTGAGTCTCGGAGTTGACTTGGTAGGACAATCCGCTCAGCATGGAAGCCTTAAAGCTGCTGCCTGTGATTTGATGCGTGTACAAGAGAGCAAGAAAACGGAGCCGTCCGACAAGTGATATTTTTGTCCGATGTTTTCAGTCTTCGGACGTTGACTTTGTAGGACTAGCGCTCCGCCTTGGAAGCAGCCCGGCGGCTAATTTTTGTAGGAGTTGCAGGTCAATGTGTAGGCTTTGTATTGATGTAGTCAAGATCTACCTTAGTGCCTTGATATTCCCAGAGTAAGTGTCCGACCATTGATGGTGGGCGACCTTTGATCGCTCGCTCTACGTCATGCTCAATTTCTGTTACAGTCATCATGTTTGGAACTGCATGCACAGCAGTCTTCAGCTTCTTTCCTTGACTGTGACTTTCTTGGCCTAGCTGACTGAGTCCTGTGGTGACGTATATAGCCTGCCACAAGATCAAGCATTCAGTGAGGATTAACGTTACTATAAGCATACCACTTTCCACACTCTTTGCTCTCTTGGATTTGTTCAGTAGAGCTAACATAAATGTAGATAGTAATATATTGTTATCCAGGAACAGATAAGATTACCTTTGGACACCCAGACTCATACCATATGACTTCAGCAAGTCCTCGTTTATCTCCTATGGGTGAAAATTTAAACAGTTGTGATAGACATACACGATGCTAGTGTTCTCACTTCATCCTCCATTTCCGTAACAGTCAACACAGCCTGTACTGCATGAACAGCAGCCCGCAGCTTCCCAGAAGACACCTCGCCTCCTCCTGACTCAGCACCACTCCTGTCAGATGAGGGGAGGGAAGGAGTCACCACAGGCTCAGTGGTCAACAGGAGATCTCTGGATTTGAGTGGATGTTGGTACTTCATCGGTATTCTAAGAGTCAATGTTTATTAGTATAGACACTGTAGCAACATCTGTAAATCTGTCCACATGGGCTAGCTACATTGTTGGATTAAAGAATTTTGTGTGAGCCTGACTTTCATCCTACAAGAGGAGGTCTCTGGATTTGAGGGGGTTGTTGGTAGGTAGTCGGTACACTAAGGGTCCACGTTTTCTCCTGGACAGCCACTATTTCATGGTCTAAATCTGTCCACATGGTGCTATTACAATCATGGTAAATTTTTTTGTGAGCCCTAGTCCTAATAGTATGAAGGACACAGTTCAGTTCCTCACCACACACTCTTACATGATAAACACATGGGTTCATTGGCTACATGGTCATTTAGCTACCTATATCGTCTTTTATAGAGCTGAATTGAGGGTAGCTATAATAATTATTATATTCGTTCAGTTTTTCTATTGCACGAGTTATGGAGAGTGACCAAAGAAATATTTAACTTAAGATGTCTGGAAAAGCAGTTTTCCGTCTTTCTCTGGTTGTTCTGGCTGTGGTTCTCGACAATGGTGGATAGTCAGCGACAAAACAGTATGAAACCTATTTGTCTAGCTAGCTTCCCCCCAATTGTTGTTCTCTCACCTCACTCAACACAGGTTTTTGTTACCGCAGGGGATCATGCAGTGGAAGAGTTATTCTATAAGAGTGCAGAATCCGCGCATCCAAGATTGCGCTGTTGCAGTCTGCGGGGAAGCCTTCGGGGAACATCTCATCATGATGGTTTCAGAGTTTTCTGCTTCTTCTTCTCCACAAATCTTCAAGACAGTAGCTATAGCTTGTATTATACATAGCTAGATAAAACCAAAATGCAAGGGCTAAGATTTTACAAATAATGAAAACAAAAACAATTTACATCTCACTATTCTCAATAGTGGACATGGCACGCCGCTTGTAACTGAATTATTAACTGCTAGCCTGCTTTATAAAGCCAGTCCGGGTCTTCTAAACATGTTCATTGGCCTAGAGTCACGCACTCTGACTGTGACAAAGAGCTAATAATTTTAATAGGGGGCTTGCCCTCTTTCGCATTTGGACAGTATGTTGTCGGACATGTAGGTGTCACGGAATGATTTATCCCAGGTTGTCTTCTTTATAATCCCGGATAATAAGCAGTCCATATTAGGAGACTAAATGCCGGATTATAAGCTCATCGGAGTCTCCCCCTACCCCCTTCATTTTAAATAAATGATTTTACGACTTGTTAGTAATTCTTGTCAGGACATCATGTCATAAGACGCTTAATTGTGTGGTCATGTGTGTGTAAAGACTGTCTACGTCTCAGTCGATTAGGGAATCCAGTCCTGAGCTCTAGACAACCTCAGTAGCTACCTCCTATTATTATGATGCCCTGACAATCATGTTGTACAGTGCAGCTATTCTAAACAATATTAAATCAAGTAGGTATGTTGGAAGAAGGGATGTAAGGTTGTCATGTCAGATGAGTCCAAACTTCATTCACAACCATGCCTACATAATTATTTTTGCATGAATTTGTGAGACACCTATGAATGATAATTAGTGTATGATATATACCACATATCTTTATTTGCTAGTATGTGTTCAATTGTGTTATGGATCTATAGAGGCACAGACACAAATTGACTGGAATTAGGTGGGTGACCTCCGCTTTTACCCTTCTAAACCCACTGGCCACTGCTTTGTGCAGTGTTGTTGAAAACCCTCAAACCACAAGCCAATACACTTCAAGGAAGGGCTGTGACCAGGTATTTTGCCAAGTCAATGCTGCCACGCGTATATTTAGAATCCCAGCATATGCTGTGTCCGTCACATTCAGGTGAGACTATAGGCTTAGAGCTAGGCTCATTCCAAAAGAGCATAATTATATACAACGCCACTGCCACACAACTCAAGGGTCTCCAGTAGCAAAGCACCATAGCACTCAAAGGTGTCCAAATTTGTTGGCATGTGTGTTTCTGCTGACTTTTGCCAAAGGTTCAGAATGACACGAATCTTTGAGTGTTGTCCTTCACACTTTCCATCATGGTAAACATTCACTCTTAGCTATATACACTTTCATAGTCATGCATGATGTCATTTCCACGAAAGCCAGGTTGAAAAGTTAGCCGAGGGTTCATAACCATATGTCCAAAACTGTTTATTTCAGTGACACATGTTTTCTCTGCCCACCATCATTCCCAGAATTGGCTTGTTGTGCCATGACAATTTTTTGGGAAACTCTCAGTGCTGTATTCTTGGGTGTGCTTTCATTAGTTTGTGGTCATTTGACAATAGCTCTATGCACATCTGTGAACGTTGAGGTTCATTAGCCTCTGACTACAAACCAAGTAAGCTGACAAAGTGCACGTGCCTTGTGTTCAGTGATGTTGGTTGTCAACGGGAGGATTAACAGAATAACTGATAATCTGCTTTATGAGATAATAGCTACACTACACACAATTCTAAAATAATGGCTACAAATAATAGGTAGCTATGCGGTTAGTATAGAGTTACATGTCAGTTGACTCCTTCAAAGGCCCTCATAAACATGCTGTGATGTGCGTGTTTCTTGGTCTTTTGCCATCAGGTACACTGGGTTTTTCTCCATGAAGCAGCCTGGTCCATGGTGTGGTTTTGCCCAGACTTACCACCATAGACCATGTCCCAACTAGGGGTGTCATATATGGGGCACACTATTACTGTCTACTGGAGTTGGAGGGTCATCACCTGTTTTGTAATGGATAGGTATACATATAGCTATATAGGAAAATACGTTTTTTGGTAACTCACCTTGCTTTGTTACACCAGTGCGGTTAGTGCAGGTCGTGCCCACTTTCTTTCTAGTGCGCACAACTGCCAGGATTGTAATTGTGAAGATGAAAAGTGCTGAAACACACGTCACTGGGACTACAGCCAAAACCAGGGACATCCTGCTGGGAGTTAGTTTACTTTTTGGCACTTGTGTACTCCTGCGTGTTGTTGCCACAGATACATGCACATAATCTGTAAAATAATATGCTTATTTTTGAAGTTCCTGCATCTTCACTGCTCACCTTCATTATACTCAACTTTGGTCATACTGTTTAGCATATTTGCTCCTAACAGTGTAGGTGAAACAGTAATGATGGGCTTTTGTGTGTTTCCAGTGAGGTCTGTGTATAATTATACATAAAATCATAAAAAATTTGTCATAAGTGTTAAATAATGCTCACCTTCATCTTCAGAAATTCCATAACTATGTAGTTGGAACTTTTCTGAAAATGGTTTTACTTCATCTGAATACCCATCTTCATTACGCTCTATTTGATGCACATGAAACAGGCTATAACCTGCACAGTTGTGGGCTGAGATGTTCACTGACAGTGTAGTATTGTACATGATGTCAAAACTGTAAGTGGGGCCTGGAGTTTCAAACTGTGTGCCGTTGACCATTTGAATAATGTAGTGATCAATTGGAACTCCTCCTCCATCAAACATAGCTCCGAGCTTTAGTACTGCTGTGTAATAAGTCTCCTTCTCTTGGTATGTAATTGAGTTACTTTTGCTAACAGGTAAACCTAAAATAATGTCAAAACTGACTTGACTCAATATGAAACTTCACTTAACCTTTTACCTGCATGATAAAAGAATGTAGACCTCTGGGATGACTGAAGACCTCTGTATGTCTTACATGTGATACTCGTTCCATTGTTTACCCCACTAGTCATGACAGTAAGTTCAGAAGTCAGATCTGCTATGTGTATGCTAGCTCCACTTCTATGGAGATTTGTAAGATTAGCAACGAAGAAACCCCTACTGTAAACAGGGTGGGAGCCTGTTGCTATGTGTCCAGAAGCATATCTAATAGGGTTGTTAGCTGGAACGTAGGGCTCTGCTATCCATGCCATTGAATTGATCTCTCTGCCATAACAACTGAATTTTACTGAAGTTTCCTCTGGACAAACATACAGAGAAGGTCCAGGCTCCAAGGAGGGCTGTTCACAACGAACACCTGCATGTAAAGTCTTTATAGGTAGCAACTAGTCTAACAGATTTTACCTTGTAATGAGAAACACATAAAAAGGAACTGTATGAGCAAAACCATCTTTCTGGTCTCCCAGTTACTGCAATGAGCGCGCGTGCGCCTTCTCTTTATGTTACGTAGCGAGTGCTTAAGTGCGCATGCGTAGCCAGCGTTGCACGCAACTCGACTTCCGGAAATACTTGCATGGTTACACAGTGTATAATATACACTCAGTCTCAATCATACGCTCTACAAGTAACTAAACAGCAGTACTGGAACCAGTAAGAACAGCTGTGCATCCAGAACCAGTGAGCTCCCTATTAGATAGAAGAATATTATTATTAGCAATGCAACATAGAATAATAATTATTTACCTATGGCAGATGATGGGCTTACCCTCGTGGTATTACTGGAAAAACTTTGGTTACACATAGTGTACTCGATAACAGTAACATTATAGGTAGCTGAAGATTCAGTGACATTAATTTGGCCTTCTCTCTTGTACCACTCAGTAAAAACAGACATTTTGGTGCCATTTTCGTATTCTGCAACAATTTCGGTCCTTGTGAGATCATTATTGGCTGATATCCATGTAACAATTATCTCATCACTTTCTCCAAATTCAGCACTAACAATTTGAGGGTTTATTCCTTCTGTGGGGAGTAAAAATAGGTTTGTTATCCTGTGACCTTTATCCCTCCTGTTGGCTAATAGCTTAATAATACTAAACACTTGTAGCTATCAAGCAAAATTTCTGTTTCCAATTTTCAGAATTTTTGTAATTTTATGAAATACTCAGCTCATGTCATTTTGGTATTGATTTAGAGACAAAATTAAGAGATTTATGTTAAATATAATCGAGCAACTGGATGACAAATTTGTGAACCTTTCAATGATGGCCACTATTTAGAACAATGCCAACATGCAGTTCACAAATTTGTCACAATAAAATTTTAGGGTTCAAACATTTGTCACCCCTGTAGTATTACACAGTCACAAATTTGTGAACCCTGACTTCCAAAGTTAACAATCAATGTTTGCTAAATTCTAATTTGCTGAAATGTAGCTGCCTTGTTTTCTCGTAATAGAAAAAGTGGCGATTTTCAAATTATGATTTGGGGAAAATCTGATGAAAACGGAACTTTTACTTGAGACACTGTTTTTTGTGTATTATTGGACAACTGAATTTCTGCGGTTGTCAACCATAATGGGCTAAGTTTGGCTTGCAAATACCCTACAATAAATGCTTTACCCCTATATAGGCACACGTGGGAAGACTACGCTTTGTTAAAACCCTCGGTGTTTGGGTAGTCTGTGCACAAGTGTTGTCATCTTGACTGAGATGAACTATGAACTACTGAAGAAAACCAAGTATATACAAAGACTAAACAATAATAATTATGACTACCACAATTGCAAGAAATCTGCTTACCTGAAATTTTTATAAATGACATTCTTTTGGTGTTGTTTGAAGACTGACATGTCACACTGAATTCATTAGAGTTGTTGACAACAATCTTAAGATGACTAGTGGACACTCGAAGCTGCGATATGTATGAGTTATTGTCAGTCTCGTTAGTATCATTGTCTATGACCTTTTCGATGAGGCTGAAATTAAATCCTTGGTTCATTTTTGGTCCTTGTTCGCATGAATCCTCGGGATAAAAGTCTGTTTTAGAATCGTTCAGTATCCACTTAAGAGAGTAAGTGTTTGTTACACTGCATTCAAGAACAATGGTGTAGTTCAAATTCGGGCAAAATCTGACAACTAATGTAAAATTTTCCCCTTTAGGCCTGTAGTCACATGCCGCCAACTCCACCGTCTCGTCGGTAGCACACGTGAAATTCACAATCATAGTGCATGATAAAAACCCAATTGCCAGTAACGAAAGATGACAAATCAAAGGTTCCAGCGTTCTGTAGATAGAGGGATAAAAAAAATACTGAGTTTTGTACCCGAGGTTTATTTATGGTTAGCCTGATAGCTTTACGGACATAACAGACGCGGAATACCTATTGCACGAAGTTGCCGGGATACATACAGGGGCATAGGCAGGATTTTAGAAATGAGTGGGTAAAGCGAAAAAGCGAAAATTTTATACCGGAAACCGCGCACGTAATTTAAACAGGAAGCCGGAAGTAAAAGTAGGCAGATTTTATACGTCGGCAGATTCAAATTCACCAATCAGATTGCGTAAAACGAGTGCGTGTTCCACGGAGACGCCCGCCGAAGAATGGCATCTTCGATGGGAGAAACTCGCTCTGTAGCAGAGAGCTTGCCGCGACGACTTGAAGATCACTGTATCCGATGCTTCTTCGAAGAAAAAAGAAACTAAAATGAGGATTATTATAGCTTCCCCGGCAAGACGGACTCGTACGACTCCGTCTATACTGCTTGTCGATGGAAATACACGATTTAGACGGCCTCGAGCGTAAAGCGGTCTCCTTGCCGTCACTCCCAACTGCCTTTGCTGACTCCCGGAGTAAACGTAAGCTAGTCTCGCGTAGGCACTCGGAGAAAAAGCGTCCCCCCCATGGCTATAATTATACGCCCCTGACATACTAACTCATGCGGAAACTTGTCTCCGTATGACAGACTATCAGGAAACGCCCCATTCGTCGGTTAACTAACAAGATAGCTAACGCGAGTGTTATACTTACAGAGTCCAATCCTGACGCGGTTACCTCCATGGTAGTAGTGTGAGGTCAAGCGTTGCCAGAGATTGGATTCTTATCGGAGTCTCCACGAAAACAGCCAAAGATGATACGCCTCTAGAAAGATAGGCGCGCGCGTAACAAACCGTTTCTATGGAGAAAGGAAAATTCATGGCCAGTTGAAGAAAAGGGAGGTAATTCTTGTCCTAATAGTTTAAAGTTGGTCTCTTCTTATTGTTTTAGGACCTGGGAAGGTAATCTCTGTCCATAAATAAAAGTCGGGCTCTGGGCACAGTGTCTGGTATGGTAACAATAATTATGTACACTTTCTGACGACCAGCCAACCTTTTGGGCCTAGCTGAGTGACTGAGTCCTGTGGTGATACAACCTGAACCACTCAACCACTTATGTAGTGAGTAACCTGACAGTTAGTACAAGTATCAACTGTTGCAGATCGTCCCACTTTCAACACTGTTTGCTATCTTTGATATGCTCACTGAAGTGAAGAAGGACTCTGAATGCATGTGCACATGAAGTATACCTTTGAATATTGAGACTTATGCCGTCTAAACCATCAATATGCTTTCAGGTTTTTCGATACAGATAGTGGTCTCATTTCTGTAACAATCAACACAGTCTTTACTGCATGTACAGCAGCCCGCAGCTTCCTGGACTGTGACTTCCTCCCAGAAGACTCCTCCTGACTCAGCACCGCTCCAGTCAGATGACGGGAGGGAAGAAGTCACCACAGGCTCAGTGGCCAACAGGAGGTCTCTGGATTTGAGGGGATGTTGGTAGGTCGTCAGTACTCCAAGGGTCCACATTCACTCCTGGACAGCCACTCTTTCACTATAAACATCATCTGAATCTGTCCACACGGCACTTCATACTTGATCAAATTAATGTTTTTGCGAGGTTCATCCTCACCTCACTAAAAGTATGAAAGACACAGTTCAGTTCCTGGCTGTGACTCTTGACAATGGTGGATAGTCAGCAACAAAACGGTAAGAAACCTATTTGTCTAGCTACCTTCCCCCCAATTGTTGTTCTCTCACCTCTCTCAACACAGGTTTTGGTTACCGGAGGGGATCATGCAGTGGAGGAGTTATTCTAAGAGTGCAGAATCCGCACATCCAAGATTGCGCTGTTGCAGTCTGGGGGGAAGCATTCGGGGAAGATCGCATCGTGATTGTTTTGGAGTTTGCTGCTTCTTCTTCACAAATCTTCAAAACTGTAGCTATAGCTTGTAGATGTTTGTACTGAACTTTTGTACATAGCTAGATGTAACCAAAATGCAAGGGCTAGATTTTACAAACAAAATAATGAAAACATAACCAATTAACATTTCACTATTCTCAGTAGTGGACATGGCATGCCACTTGTAACTATATTTATTTACTGCTATTTAATATATCGCAGGTTATGTCTTCTTTATAATCACGGATAATAAGCAGTCCATATTAGGAGACTAAACACCGGAGTTAAACTCGTCAGAGTCTCCTGTTACAGTATCGTCCTTCTTAGAGCCCACCTTCAAAGACTAGCTCTTAGTTGACTGGTCACCGATGTACTATTAAACTATGAGTGACTAAAGATAAGGGAAGATTTAGATCAGTTGTTGGTGACCAGCAAGGCTTAGTACAATTTTTGTTCTGCTGCGATACTAAATAGTGATTTCCTTTTGTTGCCTGATTGACATACTTTGGACAAACACACAAAAGGTGGCATTCGTCCTAAGCAGTTGAGGAATGCCATGAGGGTTAATTTTATAATAGTGTGAAAATGGTTAAACACTTCAGGCACTAAGAACAGTTTGTTTTTAAGTATGAGTTCTACGCGGTATAGAACGACGGGCGCTGCTATTTATTTTTACGGCTTGCGAGCGATTCGGGCGCTTCGCGCGTGCTTCTGCACTGCTACGTCATTGTGGGCGCTTGCTCGCTGTCATTCCACTTCTGCCGTTTTCCAATTACAATGGGTTGTTTCCAAGGATGCTCCTTTTCGCTATTGCATGTTCTGCACTGTCTTCAAAGATTTGCAATTCAATCACATATCACAATCACTTTATACAAAGAACTAATTATGGCTATTGCTGTCTCCAGGTGTTGCGAAAGTCAGGCTCGGGGTCCAGTGTCTGGTATGGTAGCAGTCTGTACACCTTCTGATGACCAGCCGACTTTCTTGGCCTAGCTGACTGAGTCCTGTGGTGACGTAGCCTGCCACAAGATCAAGCATTCAGTGAGGATTAACGCTACTATAAGCATACCACTTTCCACACTCTTTACTCTCTTGGATTTGTTCAGTAGAGCTAACATTAAAAATGTAGATAGTAATAATGTTACCCGTAAACTGATAAGATTACCTTTGGACACCCAGACTCATACCATATGACTTCAGCAAGTCCTCGTTTATCTCCTATGGGTGAAAATTTAAACAGTTGTGATAGACATACACGATGCTAGTGTTCTCACTTCATCCTCCATTTCCGTAACGGTCAACACAGCCTGTACTGCATGTACAGCAGCCCGCAGCTTTCTGGACTGCGACTTCTTCCCAGAAGACTCCCTGCCTCCTCCTGACTCAGCACCACTCCTGTCAGATGACGGGAGGGAAGGAGTCACCACAGCCTCTGTGGCCAACAGGAGGTCTCTGGATTTGAGGGGATGTTGGTAGGTTGTCGGTACTCCAAGAGTCCACGGTTTCTCCTGGCCAAATGTCCCTAAATGTGGACCATAGAGTATGGGAGTAACAAAAGGAGGTATCAATTTACGCATTTCTCTCAAACATAATAATGTAGCTTGCAGCATTACCAATAACGTTTCCTTCCAGTGTCCACACACGAACAGAAGTATCCACAGATGCACTGATAACAGTGTTCCACTGTTCCACAAGCAGCAGTCTAGTAGAAGAAAACTTTGTCGCTTTTGTTCATTGTCTCAGTAGAGAAGTAGCTCACTGCGTTATTCTCTGTGCATGAGCTCTCCAGACTGCAGCACCTTTACAAACAAACAGGAGTTGCCATCCTCATTAACGTTAAATCAGTAACATTGCTCTTTACGTTTTGGTGGGACCTTTGTGCTCATATTAGTACAGTAGCCCTCAATCTTCCACAGCGATAAGTAACCTATATAAGTGATGAGAAGACAATTAGCTATATACCGTCGTTGTCTACAGTATCGTTAAATACCCTCAATGTCCCCACTAAGTAGTAGGATATTGTTCTCATCGACCGCCAGTGATGTCACACAGTTGAATTTTGACTATATTAGGGATAAATTATTGCTATACTGTTCACACTCTGCACAATGAACAATGACTGAACTTACAGCACGGAAGCAAGCCATTGGCTTTGAAGCATCATAGATATTCCAAAAGTGTATGTAACCTGAGGAGGGTATGCATGGCATGAAGCAGAGTGCCGTTCATTGCAGTGGAGGCGTTGGCCTACCAGTAGGTCCACTGGCCACCAGACTGGCTGAGTTCTTGGACTTAGTTCTCTGCTCCAGGAACACTAAATCCTGCACTGCCTTATCCCCTTCCACTATAACATGATATGGAATGATTATAACGTGCACAGGTACATGTAACATAGACGATTAATAGATACCATAAGTAATTCATGTTAGATAACATTTGATTGCATGCATGACTTACATTCTTCCACCAGCATGATATTGAACGATTAGAACAAAATTTCATATAAATGTACCGTATTTATTTCATGATAGCATGTATGACTTACATTCAGATGGAGGATGCCTGGCAGATGTGGGGTATTCTGCCTTTAGCTCATTGAAGACGCCAAACGATATCAGACTCCACACCACAATCTGTCACCATTGCATAATATATCATAACATGTAGTACAACTACACACGCGAAGACAAAAGCTAACCTTCCCACAGAAGCTTGCTGTTGCCAGAAAATGTGGTGCACCATATGCAAGAGCAAGAATGTCTGTTTCGTGTACATAATCCTGAAGGAAAAATAATAATGATGTTACCAACACACATTAGAGTACAGCACTACGTGTATACCGAAGTAGTGCTCCCAGCTCTCATTGGTTTATATACCTCCTGAATTGTATCCACCACATCCTAAAGTGAATTAGAGATGGCTCTGCTACCAAGCTAACTGTGGTGGATTTGACTTACAGGAAAAATTGTGAATTTCTTGTCCCAACCAGCAGCAACAATATACCTGAAAATACGTCAAAATCAAGCCAGTCTAAACCTAAACCTCTCTACAACTCTTCATTTATACTTGCACTGATTGACAGAGACAAATCTTGCCCTGGCCACCTCTTTCCGGTTCTCTGTGAGAAATCAAATCCCAACATACAGGATGACATCTCTATATAGTGTCCCTCCGGACCTTTGTCGAGTGTCTTGAGGCACTCTCCGCTGTTATAGCTCCACACCTTCAGCTGCCCATTTGAACTACCAGTCACAATCCTGCACCATCATAGACAATAACATCTCTTTGCCTGTGAGTAATAAAAACCTTGCCTTTTCCCAGTCTTATCCACTGCCATTGCACTCACACCACATCTGCCAACTGAGAACTCAAATTCCTTCTTACCAGTCTCCATAGCCCATACTTTAACCACCTGCAACGAAACAATCATACGTCACAAAAATTAGTTCATAATTATGAGGGACTGACCCCATCTCTGGAGGCAGTAATGAGGTGGTTGAAGCAGGGAGAGAAGGCCACTCCGGCCACGGGGCTGAGGTGGGTCTGTACCATGTCCTGTCTCACTCCCACTGGCTGGACCAGCTTGATCACACCCACCTCATCTGTTGCCAGTACCACCTCCTGGCCAACGTCATTGTAGTGAGCAGCTGTCAGTAGGAAGACAAGAACTTTCTTCCTTGGCATACACAATAGCAATAACAACAGAGAAGGGAATGAAACCTCTGAAAAAGGACACCTCTCATTGGACGAAAACAAGATTTTCTATAAATTTCAGGTCACACAAATGGCCGTCTTTCCATACCTTTCCCTAATATCATTATTTCTTTACCTTTCCTACATTTAATTTTCCATAACGAAAAGATTGCCGTGAATATGCCTTAATGATACGGAAATGTAAAGACAACCTGGCTCTGACCAAATACATAATAATTATGTGTTTAGTAATCTTTAAGGGACCTCTCTGAATAAGACACTTTTGGTGTCCCCAAAGTGTCGAGGTGTTGCTGTAGTTACCCTGAGTATGGTAGGTATACCTTGGGTTGGAACTGAGAATTTGTGTACACTTGGAAACACAGAATTGAGGCAAGTGAATTCAAGAATGTCCCAGACCTGTGTGAGAGAATGTGGGATACATCAGTTTCATTGCTGCTATAGTGTTGCTGGTCTAACCATTATGGTGTTGTCGTTCCCAATGCTAAAGAGTCGGCTGTTTGCTGAGTCAGCCTTTACAAAGAAGACTGGAGCAGTGTGTCCCTCCAGTGTACCAACTGGCTTCCTGTGAAGTAGTAAGTACAATTCATTACTACAAGGTATGAAAGTGGCCACCAATGGCCTCTGTGCTATGCACAATAATTGTCCTAAAACTGTAACTGTGTTTTAGAGTTAAGGGATGAAACAAGAGGGGAAAAGCTGGCACTTGCTAAACTCATTCAAGGGAGAAACTTGCATGTAGAAGAGTTTGGTCGCATAATATGTTACGGGTATTATGCATGAGTGATGTAAGCATGTAAGTGCTGACACGGATAGCTGATAAGGGTATTATATATTAATTTGATTGAAAAAAGTTAGGTAGCTATTGGGAACTGACGAGGTCATAAAGGGGTTCCACACTCGGACAAATCTGTCAGCACTACCAGTCACCAGGACGTTGTGTCTGGAGCAGTAGTCGGCCGACGAGACTCCCTTGGCCATCCTGAACACCCTCTGGTCACATGACATGAACCTTCTAGCAGGCAGCAAACTCCTCTTGGCTCCTCTGGTGGCACTCGACGTCTGCCGGAGATATGAGTCCACCTCTGTACTTGGTGAGAGGACACCTGTTACAGACACCAACAAGAATACCGGTTCAATATTTTAGCTAGACAGTTGAGTTTCACTAGTCTGGTTGTATTAGATAATGTAGCCTTTAAAAACTGGAGGTGAGATTTACCATGGTGTATGTAGGGGGTGGGAGTAACATTGTACTTTACGTGCCAATTTTAATCCAGATGCTTAAATCGAGTTTAGCTCATTAATTTAAGGTGGCATGTAAACTCTCCTACCTGGATTACAGTTTGGATTTGTTAATTCTACTGTGGAGGGTGAATTAGAAGCAAATTTGCTAGTGCCTTCGTGAATTATTAGCATATCCAGCTTATATAGCTCTTATTGGAAAGGTGGCATGTAAATGGTCCAACCGGGATTACGGTTCAGATTAGTTAATCCTACTTTGGGGGGTGGATTATAATATATAAGCGGATGAACTAGTGTGTTAGTGGATTAGCATAACATGTGTAAACCACGATTTCCACTATGTAAACGGGGCTTATGACTGACCCAGTACAAAACTGGCTGAAGGGTCTAGAGAGCAGGAGCCAAACATCAGCAGCTTGGGGAAGTAGTGCAGCTGTAAGAAATTATGAACACAGTAAGATTATATAGCTATTCTGAGACAGAACTGCTCAGGTTTTCATGACTCACTTCAGTCACCCAGCTGGAGTGAAGTTTCCACCTATTGGACAACATAATACCATAGTCGCTACTCCAAATTGTTTGCACACATTACGACACATTACCTGTAGCACTTGACTCCACTCTCACTGTTAGATAGTAACCTATGTATAATGTGCATGCACAATGACAGCCAATTAGTGTGTGATTAAGGAGGAGCAGTTAATACATACTTGTACAGGGAGTAGGTTGGCAGGCCTTCCAGCTTTGGACCAGATTTCCAATCCCTAAAGTTACGAGCGAGTGTGATATTCTTGGAAAGATTTGCATGTCTGAATGGCTAACGTGAAAGCATTCAGAATGTTGTCTGTTATCATGACAGTCACGGCACCCTGAAGAGCAAGGAGAGATAAAGACAGAGTTTGTCTATACTGAACACAGCCTAACATCTTTATCACCAAGGAGTATCACCGTCTTCACTTCATCTTCTGGATCATGCCTAATGAAGATTGCAAGAAGTATAATCATTATTATTAGAGACTTCGATATCTATGGTCCAGAAGACAGTAAATACTATACACATTGATTTGTCGAGCTCACCAACAAACAATTTTAAGAGGAATTGACTCCAGTCTGCTGAGCTGGCAATAGGGTTCAAAGTTGACCATCTCAAAGAACTGCAGCTCACAGTCTCTGCACAGAAACAGAGACCATATGGGTACTGTCGTAAACCAGCAATAATGTTATGTTTGTTGGAGGGGGGGAAGAATAGCTACATCAGGACACACTGCACCACTTTACCCATGGACAGAAATGTCATGAAGGAAACTACGATCCGATTCATGAGACTAGACCCTAGACAAAAGTAATTTTGTAAAATAAGAGTCGGCAGTGTATGTACCCTGTAGCTAGGATTATCTTCTTGTGTGGGAGAGAGAGAACCATGTCTGATATCCACTTGGGTTTTTCTCTCTGCTTCACATCAACTTCAGTCAGCTACACGGACACAGTAACCAATCACAATCACTTAACAGTGCATACTGACTGGTTTGGTTCGTTTTAGTTCGAGCTCTTGTGACCAGAAGCACACTGTTCCTTCCTGCACCATGAAACAGATCTTATTATATGCTGCCCGTCTGTAGGAATGTCTGTCCCCTTACCTCACTACATGTGACCAGACCTCCATCACTGGTATGCTGCACAGCACACACTGAACCATGATGGGGGCTCCCCTTCGTTATTATTGCTGGGGTATGGAAATCCACCTGTACACAACAATCAGCACTTGTGAAAGAAATTATCATGTGCGTAAGGCCCACACGTGCACTACACGTGTCCCTTGTCATATATAGTGTCCCTTGTTCCGAGGTTTAACTGTATTCACTTGCAGACCTTCTTGGCTCTTGCTTCAGCACTGTCTCTCTCATGGTACTCCAGGTAGAGAAAGGAGCAAAAGTCATCCTGGATACCAGAGATAACAAAACTGAAGAAATCGGCTCTGAGAAAACAATCCTTAATATTGACCAGCTTCGTGTAGCTGTACCTGCCTTATACCCAGGGCCATAATATAGCTGTAAAACTGAATCAAGCAGGAGCCTCAAAATAGCAGAGATTTAAGACAGTAGATGTGTAACTACCATTATGGAAAAATGGTCGATCAATAACATGACATACTTTGTGCCATGCATTAACTGCCTACATGAACAACAAGGGTTATTTCACAAACCATGTTTTCTATTATAAGCTTACCCAGCTGATGGTGTCATTAGAAAGGTTGTCAATCTTCTTGAAAACGGTCCTCATCTGTTCCTCGTGTGTTGTTGACTACATTCAGTCTATAATTATACACCCACAATAATTGCTCTGGTCCTACCATGGCCTCTTCTCCAAAGACATTCCTACAGGCTCTCAGGAATTCCTCTTCGTCCAATTTTCCATCTCCACTTCTGGTAGCTTCCTGTTGTAGGAGGATGAGCAGTTGAAAATAAACAACTGCCACCAAATTATGAGAACACACTTTAAGAGAGTTTCAGGGGTTGGTGTCTCAGTCCTATGTTTTGTTAATGTGCGTTCGCCTTCAACATACAATGACCCCGTGATTCACGCACACATTCACTGATGGTTCGTAGCTATACAAGTGAAATAACATGCACTGATGGTATATACATACGTCAAAGATTTCCCTCAGCTTGTCCAGTTGCTCTAGATGGACAGCACCTCTGGACTGAGGGACAAGTCATTGTCATAGTGCTTGTGACCACAGATGGCTCTAACTGTGTACTATATACACCTTGGTTCCTGAGGAAGAGGCTCCACTACTGGGGTGTGGGGGCAGAGTCCGCAAAGGGTCTCGCTGGGACCTGGCCGAGTTACTGATAAGACTCTGTCTCTTCGGTGGAGCCCAAGCCTGTTTCCTCCCGTCACCCTTCGCCTCTCGTCTCGCCTGCTCCACGCCTACCTCCGACTTGGCTCGGAGAGAATGCTCAGCCGCAAACTCAGCGACGCTCGTCTTGTTCCGGGACATCTCGTGCAAGTCGGTACCGCTACCTTTCTTCTGGTTGCCGGTACTGCGATTTCTGGCACTCCTGCTGCGACTGTACTGTGTTTGCAGAGCCATGATCTCTAGCCAGCGTAGCTGGGTGTTTCGTGTGCAACCTAACCAGCCCCGCCCTCTCGACTTGGTGGCGTAAGAGCGCATGCGTGCAGTGTCAGCGCACACGCACACCCACGAGAAAAATTACCTGTGTATAAAGCTACTGTGTGGAGCAGAGAAAGTAGTTGTTAGTAAACTAAAGAGAGTCAGTAACGGAGCAGGAATTGGACGAGGCGGGAAAGCAAGTGTTCTAAAATCCCTAACTATGAGGCTGCTCTACGTGGTAGCGTTGGCAGTCTCCTGCTCTCTGTGTCCAGTTTGGACTCAATCTTCCTCGTCATGTTCTGGAGCTTTCGACTTCATCTTCGTCGTTGACAGGTCAGCGCACCTCTCATACTCAACTACCCGATCCCTCGTTCTTTTTGTACCCTGTTTGGTAGTGTAATTTGCGCATCTAATTACTAGCTAGCCATGTTGCTCGATTACTACTGTAGCGATCTGGGTTGATTCTTTTGTCGTGCTGTTTGTTGTCCACCAGCTCGCTGAGTCTGGCGGACCACTACAAAGATTCGGTGGTGCCGTTCGTGGAAGACGTCGCAAACCACTTTGTCAAGTAAGACCTTCTTTTCTCTGTTCACTGGTTCCCATCGCAGCCAGTAGCTAGAGTGGGTATACTTGTGCTCTGGTAAACTCACTGGAGAAACTGCACCCATCTATTTTAGTAGCTCTCACATTGTTTGCCCTCACAAGATTGTATCGGAGAGCTACATAGTAACAAGGAGATATACTTTAATCACATTAGTATTGTACGTAGTATGTATTTCTGATGTGTGTGTCTTTGTGCTGCAGTCCTGATTTCCGGCTGAGTATTATCACGTTCGACGAATACGTCCACCTGCATCTCCCATTGACACCCACCCAAGACAGGTCAGCTCCATGTATTATAATTATACTACTGCTGGAACATGGTCTGACATTGTATGTATGTATAGTAGATGCACCACACCTGTGTGTAAGGTTGGTTGGTGGTATAATGCACTAGGACTGTGTGTAAGGTTGGTTGGTGGTATAATGCACTAGGACTGTGTGTAAGGTTGGTTGGTGGTTGCATAATGCACTAGGACTGTGTGTAAGGTTGGTTGGTGGTATAATGCACTAGGACTGTGTGTAAGGTTGGTTGGTGGTATAATGCACTAGGACTGTGTGTAAGGTGGTTGGTGGTATAATGCACTAGGACTGTGTGTAAGATTGGTTGGTGGTATAATGCACTAGGACTGTGTGTAAGGTTGGTTGGTGGTATAATGCACTAGGACTGTGTGTAAGGTTGGTTGGTGGTATAATGCACTAGGACTGTGTGTAAGGTTGGTTGGTGGTATAATGCACTAGGACTGTGTGTAAGGTTGGTTGGTGGTATAATGCACTAGGACTGTGTGTAAGGTTGGTTGGTGGTATAATGCACTAGGACTGTGTGTAAGGTTGGTTGGTGGTATAATGCACTAGGACTGTGTGTAAGGTTGGTTGGTGGTATAATGCACTAGGACTGTGTGTAAGGTTGGTTGGTGGTATAATGCACTAGGACTGTGTGTAAGGTTGGTTGGTGGTATAATGCACTAGGACTGTGTGTTGCAGTAATGGTTGGCCATCTGTACTCCCGATGATAACAGATTTGCTAAATGGTATAGATAGAATTTTGTAGTAGCTGCAAGATTGGGTGATTTAGCACATAGCTACAGCCTCTTACCATAAGGATCTAGAATTTTTGTACATGTCTCTATGAATTTCGTAGCCTGTTTGGTATAGATGGTCCCTACCCTATATTTGGTCTAGATAAGATGGTCTAGATAAGATGGTCTAGATAAGATGGTCTTGATAAGGTCAGGCAGAGTGGTTTGTTTTGATTGTCTGTGATCCACTCTGTCATGTGCAATCCCAGAGTAGCGGTGGAATGTTGGCAATAGCTCTTGGAGGCCTCTGCCACTTGAACTGCGGTAGACCTGTGCCCAAATACGACTGTCTGTGTTAGCAATAAGTGAGTGTACAAGGTGGTGGGGATGATGCTCTCTTTCATTGGTGACTCAGTACCCCAACAGTGTAGTCAACACAAGTGTGTTACTTTACCTCAGAACAAAGTGTGTGTCTACATTATGTAGGGCCATGGACTGTACACTGCAGTTATGTGTCTAGTATGCGCACATGTGTACATAGCCAATCAAACAGTGCCATTCACTGTTTTGAGAAGTGTACATAATTATACATACGCATTTGGTAGTACTGTTCACGTCGTAGTCTTGTGATAGTATAGCACTAAGTTCTCTTTTCTTCGGTATGTAGGATAGTACTGTTTCTGGGAGAATAGAATAGCACCTACTTGTACGCCTTTCCGTGTTTGACACAAGGGAAGGCAGAGTGTATAACTATCTAGTGATGTCATGCATATTCCGACCATACTGGTGGCGGTGATGTTTGGTGACGACAGATGACATCATAACAACATGCAATACGAACAGCAAAACAGTCTGCATACCACATTGCAGTCGCGTTACCTCTACTCACTGCTAGAACTGTTACTGTTTGTTTCCAGGGAAGCCATAAAAGAGGGCATAGAGAGCATGCGCAATGTGGCACATGGAATTGGAACTGATCTCCCTGCTGCCATTGATGAGGTACAAGACAAACTACTGACACTTACAGTCACTCTCACACCGTTTTGTGTTCTTCCTGTTTAACCCTTGGTATCCCCTGGTTTAACACTGTGCCCTCCTGGTATGTCCCCCTGTTTTAACCCTCTTTCTCCACTTGTTTAATTAAAACACTGCGTCCTTCTTGTTTGAAGCCCTCTGTGTCCTCTTTCTTCCTAGTTAACTCTCTGTTTCCTCATAGTTTCACCCTCTGTGTTTTCCTGCTTTAAAACCCTCTGTGTCCCTGGTTTAATTAACCCTCTGTGTCCTCTTTCTTCCTAGTTAACTCTCTGTTTCCTCATAGTTTCACCCTCTGTGTTTTCCTGCTTTAAAACCCTCTGTGTCCCTGGTTTAATTAACCCTATGTGTCCTCCTGGTTTAACCATCTGTGTCCTCCTCCTGTTGATCCACTAGGCTCTGACTCAGATCTCTAATAAAAGTGACTCTGTCAAAGTGGTTCTGGTGGTCACCGACGGACTGTGGACTGGCAATATTTTCAGAGGGGTTAGATCGAAACACACTATATACAGCCACCTGTTTACACATTCACGTTATATTAGTAACAGCCTCCACACTTGTACAATAACGTAAATAGCTACGAGCATTTTGCAAAGCTAGTACATTGCTCTTTAGGAAAAAGTTGCAACTACACAGCATTGTTTGTGGTATATAATTGCTGTCGGCGCCCCAATCCATTACGTTGTTGTGTCGGCCATAGGCTCTGTGGTGATTGTGAGTTCAACCCTTAATTCCCACAGGTGGTGGAGTTAAAGAAACTTGGTGTACTAAGATTTATTGTCGCAATTGGAAATGTGGATGAAGAGGAGGTATGTACCCCTATTGTTGTACATATGTCTGTTTCCTTGAACATTTTGACTGTCACATTGTAGGACTTGATTCAATGTTGCCTCTATGCAGTAGCTAAAGTAATGTCCAATTCCACATATCATTTCTTCCTCTATCTACCTCTCTCTCTCTCTCTCTCTCTCTCTCTCTCTCTCTCTCTCTCTCTCCTCTCTCTCTCTCTCCTCCCATGTACATAGTTCCTGCAGTTTGTTGACAGTTTAGACCAGACCTTCATTGGAAATGACTTTCTCTATCTTCAGCAGATCATAGATATGGTACATTCGTACACATTACTGATCTATGCAAGTCCTTGTAGGGCAGACTATATACACAAGTATTCTGTTTAGGGAAATTATTAAAGGGGGTGTGTTGTATGTCTAATTATGTGGGATGGGCTTGCATTGTTGGTACAGAGCAATAAATGCATGTAACATGAACACCTGCACTTCACAGCTCTGTAAGATGGGCCTCATAACTACTGAATAGTTATTGATTTGTAACACACGTAATTTTGCTTTAGTTTAATTATTACACTGTAGCTCCTGATTTCATTGAACTATGAGATCAAAAACACTCATTTTATCACCAATACGACCTACCAAACGAAAGTTCTGAGACTATAGTTTAGGTTGGAGGCATTCGGCAGAATTGCTACTTGTCCTACCCACTTCAGCTGATGTTACTGCTGCATTATACACTGGTTGTTTGCCAGTCCGGTTGTGAGCTAGACACACATGCTTATTGCGAGGAGCTAAGATGATCTAGTACTACAGGCAGTAAATACTTAAATTCGCAGGGCGTTTCGATATTTTGCTCACAAAAGGCAAAAATGTGCTCTTGTCTCACTACTTTTGATTTCCTGGCAGAAATGTCCTCTTTTTTTGGAGTGAGGCAACTAGTGTTTTAGTGATGTATGCCCCCAGTCAGCCCTGTGCCTGCCTTGCAGTGTTGGCAGTAGTTTGCCCGTCAGTCAATTGGTCAGCCAAACACACACTCCTCAGTTGGGGGCTATAATATTGCACAGAAGACATATAGCTATAGTACTAGAGGACACTTGAGACTTGAGGAAATCCTACTCTAGTGGTTAAAGAAATGCGTCCCTTGTTGCCGAGCGCGTTAGCGTGAGGCAACTACTCCGGGTTGTATTCTCGCGATATGCGTACGTGCGTCGTCAATTAGTCACGCTTAAGAATGTCAATTAGTCACGAAAAGGAAGTGTAACTTCCGTCATTCTTAAAGTCTAGCTTCCGCCGTGCACGCAGATTCGTAGGAAGTCTGGCTTCACACGCAGTCAGTAGAGCGCGCGCAGGAGCGGCTTGTTTACACATTGGCTGGCAGGCGCGAGGTAAAATATGTGCGTGCGCATTCCTAGTCTTATTGAATTCCTGGCCTTGAGTGCTTCTCTGGCAGTAGTGTGTATGTGCAGTTGTGGCTACTAGTGGAGCAAGCAGCCAAGGCCCTGTCCGCATAGTTCTTCCCGAGGTGTTTATTAGTCATTAGTTATACAACATGTCTGTTTACGCTGGAGACTGGCCGGTTGCTAGCGCCTGGAGTCTGCCTGTGAGCGAGTGAGTGAGTGAGTGTCAGCGAGCCAACATTCTGACAGTGGTAAAAAATCAAATTACACTGTGAATCTACAGAATGTACACTATGGGTTGATAGGCATCTTCACTGGGCACTGTATCTAGTAGTGATATCCTCAAATGAACAAACAAGTGCTCTCTATCAAACTACGCTGCCTACCCTCCCCACACAATAACTTGGTGTATATCGCAGACGGTTTACAAGTTTTTGCAGGTTGTTTTGAACAACCTATGTATGCAAGTGTGTTGTCTTGAAGTCCTCATGGAGTTGTTTGGCCTGAGATTGGCTACCAGGGAACCTTGGCACAGTGCCTCATTCTTAAATTTTCACCGCTAAAGTGTTCTGGCAATCCTCCTGCATTCTCTCTTCGCGTTCCTGCCTTAATTGAACTGTTAGTTCATAAACACTCTCTCATTTACAAGTGAGGCTATAAACTGAAGATACTGAAAATCTTCCTGCACATGCAAAAGTGCTGGAACCATGCTTCCTGCACATTCAGAAATGTGCAGGAATAATTTTAGGAAGAATTTCAAAAAGTGCAGGTAGAAATGAAAAAGTGTAGGAAATATTCCTGCCATATTTTTGTCATGTGTAAGAACAATTTGAAGCTTCCTCTATCTTCTGTACATGAGAAGTTTGTGCCGGAAATTTCTTACATTTTTGCCGAAATTCCTGCACATTGGGGAAATTTGCAGCACAATTCCCCCATACATTATGATAGGGTTTTCTTATTTAAATGAGAGAGTGTTTCGATCATGTTATGCAATCTGTTCTCTTGTGCATTTGTGGGTATTTGTGTTTGTTGGAGTATGATTGAAATGCACTGCACGCACTCATTATATTTTTAATCTCCCTGAGTTTATATTATTCTTGATTCTCTGTTGTTTTCGTACATCGTGTGATTAATTTTAAGAGCATTCCCTCTGAAGATAAATATCTCTAATCACATATATCGTTGTAGTGTTGCAATCCCTTAGCTTCGGCTGCGTGTTAAACTTCTTCTTCGGAGATCCACTATAATTATTACCACTTGAAAGCAAAATTAATTTGCTGTTAAATTCCATAATCTCAGGTGATAGAGCAAACTGTATTTAACTCCTCATGTACCATAATCTCAGGTGATAGAGCGAACTGTTTAACTCCTCATATACCGTAATCTCAGGTGATAGAGCGAACATGTGTGGAGGTGACAAGTATCCAGCCCAGCCAGTACTGTCAGGATCGGAATGCCACTGACCTCCAGCTCAAAGGTCGCGGGTTCACCATCAACCTCAACCGCAACAGGGCTCAATGTCGCTTCCAGACTGACAACGGACCCATTGGTGAGGAATTTTAGAATAGTGATTTAAAATCGAGTTGCTTAAAATACCCGCGTGATTTGTTTGTCCAATCAACTTTTTTCGCCAGTTAGTTGTAGTCTTAATATCTTGATGCCCAAGCAAACCCCTTATTTTACAGTTGAGCTCCAAACAAAAGACGCACTAGGACCTTAATTAACTCTTTCATCTCTACAGAGGTCCCTGTTAGCACCAATTTTTTATAAAAATGTGTTCTTTATCGAATTGTCTGTTATAAAAGGCTTCTCTATGTATGTACTGTTCCTATTTGTTAGTGACTCGACCAGTTGGGGAAATAACAAAGTACAACATGACATGTGAAGACCCAGGAATAAACAAAACAGGGTGAGTGTTTACTCTCCCCAACGGTATTCCTAGCATTGTGAATGATATTTCAACGCCCCAACACTTCTTGCTGCAGTAACAACAAACAGTGTAATGCACACAAACACTCCAGGCATGCACCATGAAGCTACCGAACAAATATGACTGATGATATGTTCATAAACCATGTCTTGAATGCATACTACAATGTACACGAGGTAGTCAGCTACAGTGGAACCTCTGAACAGGGGACACTATGGGGTCAACGATTTTGTCCCCTGTAGAGAGGTCGTCCCTATGTATCTCGGAGGTCAAATAATCGAGTGTCCTTTGTTTAAAAGTCATCCCTATCTCGGAGGGTCCCTTATCAGAGGTTCCACTCTGTACTTCTTTACACGGTTGGTTGTTTCTAGTGATGGCCAATCCTCGATCTCACATACAGAAGCTTCAACTTTCGCTGGCTCCATGGCCCATGGAGATGTGAAGTACATGTAGCTCCCGTAACAGAGGGGCACCTCAAAGACTCACTGACTGTTCCTACGTGTGTACACACCGCCCACTCGGTAGCTCTACAACTGTTCCCCAAATGTCACATGAGAATGTAAACATAGCCAAATTTGAGATCTTTATAGAGAGTTAAAGACCTGGTGTAGCTCTTTGTTTGCTTTGTGGCCTAATCTTCCAGAGTGAGTATTGCGTATGAGTCTCCCACACTTGGCCTTATACGGACTGTCACTCATCCACAACTATTCACGTGTTGGTGCTCTGTATATTATTTCATCAACTATCTGTGAATTTCTCTCTCTGCAGAACATATGTCATTCAAATAACCCTGGATGGAGTCACCTATGTTACCAGCAGTGTCAGACTTGTAGTGGCTGACTGTAAGGTGGTAAGAGCCGTTTACTATGAAGTGCCGTTTGTCTCAGAACTACTTTTCTTGGACCAAGCCTAAACGTCGTGTGAATTTACGTAAATATCGCGAGAGTTTAGCTAAATCTCGCATGATTCTAGCAATCGTCGCACGAGTTTAGCTAATCTGCGCATGACTTTAGTATCCATCGTTGCGTTTAGCTAAAAGGGCATCTACAGCTAAAAACCCATGCTTTTAGCTCTGGTCGTCGACGTTAGCTAAATATCGAAGACGAATGATAAAGTAACGCGAATTTAGCTACTAATCGACAACGGATGCAGCGTATAGCCCTAAAGTCATGCGCTGATTAGCTAAAGTCGTGCAGTGTTTAGCTAAAGTCATGCGGTGTTTAGCTAAAGGCATGCGGTGTTTAGCTAAAGTCATGCGGTGTTTAGCTAGTCATGCGGTGTTTGCCTAAAGTCGTGCGATGATTGCTAAAGTCATGCGCAGATTAGCTAAACTCGTGCGACGATTGCTAGAATCATGCGAGATTTAGCTAAACTCTCGCGACGTTTAGGCTTGGTCCAAGAAAAGTAGTTCTGAGACAAATGGCACTTCATAGTTTACTGACTTGTCAGGGTTTTAGAGGGGGAGGAGATAGAAGGGGGGGGGGGTGGTAGGGGGGGCAAAAGATAATAGTTTAGCACCCACTGAACTAGGGCTTAAATTATCTACCGTCTGGGTTAACTTTGTGCACCCAAACATCCAATTTGCCACACCTTCTTAAAAGACACCCTGCTCTGTACATGGTTAGTACCGTCTATAGGCGAGAAGGCTTACTTTACGTGTGTCTCATCTGTACCCCTCCACAGCCAGGAGATGATGGAGATGGAGGGGGAGGGGGAGGAGGAGGAGGGGGAGGAGGAGGAGGTAAAGTAGATGCAGGACTGGCTGTGGGTCTCCTGTTTGCCATCATTGGCCTCATCCTCCTCATCCTCCTCTGCTGTTTCTGGATCTTCTTCCCCCTCATCTGTTGCGTAAGTCACTCTCTCCCTCACTCCCTCCCTCCCTCTCTCCCCCTCTCTCTCTTTCTCTCTCATTCTCCGTCTCTCCCAATCTGTGAGTGGCCCCTTCTATGCATTCCTCCCCTCTCTCCCTTCTTTTCCTTAACTTATTGTTGCCTGGTTTGTATAATCGTTAGTAAGTTGCTCTTTCAAGTGGGTTTGTGCACCTATACACATGGAGGTGAAACTTGGTGTCGCACCTACGTCTAGCTAAATTTTGTACTTTGTTTCCCATTCCTTTACTCTCTACTTGTGTTCTCCAGAGGATTGTAGGTGGACTACCACCAGAACCAAAAGAGGTGGGCACATTCAAGAGTACAGATCACATACACTGTAGTTATTTTATACTGCCTGTAGCTGATATTGTGACTGAAGTGCTGGACTTTTCTCTCATGACCATGCTTTAGCTGTATCTGTATACATAGCTGCATTTTTAGCTGGTATTGTGGCTGAAGGGCTCAGAATGTTCTCAATTAGAGATTGTACAGCTACATATAGGGTGTTTCAACTAGACCTCTCGATCTTACATTTGTTGTGTTTCTGACTGTGATATATGTCAGGAGGAGCCAGAGCCAGTGGAGCCCAGGCCTGGCAGGAAGTGGGAGGTGGTGGATGCCTCGTACTACGGCAGAGGTGGAGCAGGGGGCATCAGACCTGTTACTGTGAGTGGACCTCGTGTATATATACTCTAGTCTCATACCCAGACCCCACCCTCAGAGAGGAAAGGGGTCTGGTGACGATTGAGCAATTTCTTGATACAGCCAGTCTCAGTTTTCAGTAAGCATATAATTGCCGAATGTCAGGTAAAACATGTGACCACAAATAACAAAACCCAGGGACTCCGTGTATTTGCGAGCGTATCCAACTTGCATGTGGTTATGTAATGATCTGCTGATTCAGCACAACCAAGGAAACAATGTCATCTTCCACTTTAGAGGGTGGGATCTAGGTACAAAATCATGTGTACTCTGTCGTTGTAAACCTTGTACTATACATAGGTGTATCCTAGTCATGGTTTTTTGCTGCTGTTTTTTTAGGTGCGGTGGGGTCAAGGTGGAGCAACAGAGGAAGGAAACAAACTCACAAAAGCCAAGGCAAGAAACAAAATAATCGCTAGACGACTATTTTTCCTGCTGTTTGTCGTAGTCGTCCACTTTCGTGTACCGCAACTGCTTTCACGCTTTTGCACTTACCGAGGTGTGTATGTATATCAGCAATCACTAAGTACAGTAGGGACGGGCAGCATTTTGTATGTATGGGCTATTATAGAAAGTTTTGTTCATCTTCTGTAATGTTAGTGGTGGTTGGTGTATTCCTCCGCAGGATGCTGAGGTGTTGGAGGTGGTCGAACAGCCAGGGGTACCTGCCCAGCCAGTCACCAGGCCTCCTCCCCCCGGCTGCTGGGACAAGTTCAAGGTACGTACATAAATCATCAACACACACATCACAACACAAATACAGTACTCATTTTATAGCTCAGACAGTGTCATTACAATGTGTATCACTTGATGGTTGTTGACACCCCTGTCTCCCTTGTACACATTGTACAATCCACTGAACTGTATTTTCCAAGTTTGTAAAGAGTGTTTGTGACTATAACTACACGTAATGTAGTCGAATCTCATTTCAGAGGGCTTAGGACAACAGCGTGTATTTGGCCTTAATCTTTGGAATCTAGCTTAGAGCCTGTTAGTCTGTGTCTGCCCATACTATCCTCTACAATACAAACTTGTCCGTTAGGGTTAATGGAAAAAATTTTGTACCATTGTCTATTAGGCTATTGTACATATGTCTGCCCATGACGACCCTCTGCAGTGGAAAGTAAAATCATCCTGTACTGTTTCTACTCCATGGAGTGTATATACTGCATGCAGACTCCACCCATTAGGGGGCATTCACACATGCAAATTTATGCACGGGGAGAGCTGCCCATGTTAACAACAAAAGTGCCTGTATGTAATAGCCTTGCCATCTCGGGGTTTCATTATAGAAGAGTTTCGCAAACCTGCTGTTGGCACAGGTTTCTCCACTCAAAATGTACAGCTCAACTATTGAGTATCTTCCACGGAACTGTCGCAACAGAACTCTTCTGTGACATAATATTATGAAGCCTGTAGGAGTAATGGAGTGCATTAGGAGGATCCATAATGCATACAAAGAAGCCTCTGGCTAGTCCCGATATTCCGGTTTTCTTGGCAAAAGCCTCACTCAGAACCTTCCGCAGTGTGTGCCCTCAACATTCCTCCCAACTACCGGACTAATTGGGGAATCACTGCCAGCATGCCTCTCTGGGCAAACACTTGGCCTCGGGAAAAGTACACAAACAGACCACACACTACTATACCGCACACCCACTGCACACCCTCAGACATACACCCACACTCTGTTAGTGGAGCCTGGCTGTCTGGTTCCTGGAGCAGGGGCGTGTACACGCTGAAGCAGGGCCACTCTGAAGCAGGGCCACTCTATAACTCTTAGGCATCAATGGTGTCCTGGAAAGCAGAGTGTCGTGGGTTCGAATCCCACCCAGGGCAGCTCTTCTTTTCCTTGAAAACAAATAGCTGTCCCCGGTGTAGTTGACTTGTCTGTTTGCCTTGCCTTTTACCTCGATATGTCGTTGTTGACACATACACACTTACTTGGTTGGCCCATGGCACGCACACTATAATTATGCTTCTAGGCCATTATCTGCATAATGACGTATGTACATCATCCTCTTGCGTATGGAGTGCATGCGTCATCTACATTTGGTTTTAGTGTATGTAACTTCTCATGCTCAAGATCACAGCTCCTGCACAATAATTACATACCCAATAGCATTCAACTGTAGCTATACTTGTTTTGACCATGCCTATAAAATTCTAGATTAACCTGTTTGTAAAGCAAACACCACAGGGGGCTGGAGAGAGAGGTGCTAGGCGACTAGACTGATAGTTTGTGAGACGTGTATTTATACTTCATACGTGCAAGGGTTCCATGCCCAATTGTGTATCTTGATTCAGTTACCGTGAGAATCCTATATCATAGTTTATCTGTAGTCATCGTTGTTGCTTCGTCGGCTATTAAAATAGATCTCTCCCAATATATTGTACCACTTCATGATTTATGTTCTTGGACTCAATCTGAGCCATGTGCTGTGTAGCTATGTAATACATACCTCGGACTTGTGGAGTGATAGGGTGGTTTATAAATGTCACAGCATCAAACACTCGGTAGTGTGTATCTCTGTGTCCCTCTTTGACCTGCAGAAAAGGTGAAACGAATGTATGCTGTTGCCTCATCCTACAGACAGTCTGGGGACCCACCGTAGTCCTGACAGTAGTACTGCATACAATGGACAGTTAATGCATTCTCACGATTAAGGCAACAATCCCAGCTAGAAATATTGTACGTGATTATGAGTGAGTTTTTGATGTCATAGTTGTGGTTGTTTGGTGCGTTCATAGATTCATTTTGGTGAGATAAGCCTATAGCTGAGAAGCAGTGGTCTAAAAGGTTACAGGTTGTAATTGTTGTTGATGCAACGAGTTTTCCTTGAGGGGGTTAGTAATATAGTGGGTGTGTTTTGACCTCGGAGGCATGCACAGCGAGGGTTACAGTAGTCGTTCTGTCTGGTGTCTGTTTGTCTATCGACACTTATTCTGGCACTGCTGGCTACGAGGCGGCCCATGAGTGATAACAACGGCTTCAGAACTACATGCCAACCTGAAAAATAAAATTCTTATTTTCATGAAACGACTGCGTTCGTGAGATATGCCGTGAAAACAAGCTAAAAGGCATAGAAAAATCACACTGGGCTACCACGACCTGATTCGTTTGCTCTGTGTACATTCGAGGAAAAAAAGTCAACAAGGGGTGAACGACTCCCGATTATCTATAGGTAGCTAGCCCGTGTCAGATTCCACCAGCTATATGGGGACCACAGTACTAATGCCCACCCATCAATTAGCGTACCGCATGCGCAGTGTGCCAGGGTTTGCATTTATCTTTTCATTATACTAGCAAAAAGTGCGAATGAAGCAAACCTACACCTACTCGTCTGAAGCAAGATTTCCCATACTGTTATAATTATGTATGTAACTGTACCACGGGCACTGCACTTTCACGGTAATGCTACGTGATTCTAATATGCATGAAAACAACAGAAAACATATTGAACTGCTTCCTTCACTCGCCAAAAATGCATGATATTGTTGCAAGTCTCTGTCTTTTCTGTTGTGATTGTGATGTGCCACCTTCTGGATGTATAATTATGGCAGAAGCAGGTCCTGTGGTTCCCTGGAACTAACCTAAGACCTCGTCACAGCCAACTGCAAGCCACGCTTATGTACGTTTTTCTTTTGTCATGTTATGCCCTTCATTCACTTTTAGTTTGAGTAGCTACAGACAGCCTTTAGTGTTTGGTATAAAAGTAGGGATTCCTTAATGTATACAGTGTGTAGTCTATACAAGCTATATATATACACTGGATAAGTGGTCTATCCAAAAACGAAGTGTGAAGAGTCGAAACTAGGTTGGGGTATGAAACGAGATCCGAATTTCAAATGTTCATCTCCTTCAAAGTACATTAATGTTATTATCAAGGTGTGAATATTAAAATTTACCACTCAGCTCTGCAACTATTAACGAGATCTGTAATATTTGTCACAATACAATAATATAGCACGGGATTTGATTACTGTCTGAGCTAACTATAATAATGATGAACATCTTTCTAATCTCCCAGAAGGCACCTGCTACTTCAAGACCGAGCAAGCCAGCTCCTGCCCCACTCAGGGCCGGAAGGTTGGTGTGAAACATGGTGTACACCAAATGAGCTCTAAACACACCCCACTCTCTATCTCTTCGTAGCTCACTGCCTTCCTATTGCCAGAGAACGGGTCATCCCAGCTCTCCAGTCGGTATGCTATAGCTACCCCACGCATGCACACAAGGGGTTTTGTATATATTCGTCTGTCGTTTTCCGCACTAAAATCACCAGATCTCGAGATATAGGTGCCTGAGTGAGTTTGAAAGGTGGCTAAACGGCAAAAAACTAGCGACCCTAGCTAGTATGCTTGGAATCAACAACACTGGCCACAATAGCTTAAAATTTGAAACTAACAATGTTGTGGTCATTTGGCCACGCCTATCATCAACTCTGCTCTGGCACATGTACCCAAATAACACTCAATACCGCGACGGGCCTGGTACGTATGTGCTCCCAGAGCTCTTGTTCTGGACGTGAACATTATATAGTAGTTGTTAGGGTTGGGTGTATTAGAACATGACTCTATATAACTCAAATGGCGTCCATAAAGGCTTTGTAGAGAGACTGATGACGGCTGTGCGCATAATCCCCACAGGTCACCTCCCCGTATGACTCCTCCAACCCCCAGCCCTCCTCCTCTCCGCCCACACCCGAGCCCCTCCCCGCCCTCCCTCTCTCAACAGGCCCTCTCTTCCTCCTCGTTCCTCCTGCCAACTCCTAATAATGATCCTCTGTGTTAATTGTCAGTATCGGGGAGAGGCTGTTTTGATCATTATTCTTTCTACTACTATTATAATGTATGTCTCTGTAAAGCCATTGTTGTTCAGTAAAAGGTGTGGAGAAATGATGTAAAAAGTTGGGAGGAATGGATGTTGTTTTGTACGCATAGCCATAGTAGGACCATTGACCCACTGGGTGGATTTAGAGACCTCACCACTAAACCCCTTCTTGGCGACCTGTGCAGTTATCAAACCTGAGAATTAGACTGTTGTTGAATGCTGGGGTCGATTACCATCTTAGTCCCTGTGACTCGCATGACCTATGTGGCTGGAATGTGAAAATCAAGATTTTGTGGTTTTTCACCCTCAAAAAAAATGTTCACATTCCAGCCATAATATAGGTCCCTTTCCCATGCCCCCTCACATATATATACAACTTTAATAACACAAAATTTATTACTCTTGGAACCAAAATGCTGCGTCTCATAATAGTATATAGCTACCATGTGAACCAAAAATGGAATAAGAAGAAAGAATGAAGCCACCACTGGTAGATTGCACACACAACACACACATACAATAATTATTGCAAGCTTGTTGTAGAGTGCAAAAATTGAATCACATTTAAATAACACAACATTATGCTCCCTATCTATAGTTGCAGCATAAAATAAACCAGTATTCTAAGGTGAGATTCATTCCACGTAGACACCGAAAGAGCCACTCCAAGTCTCTCCTCCACTCAGTACAGAGAGATGGTCGTGGTTGTTGTAGGCATCTGCCATCCCCGACATTGGCTCCACGGCAATTGCATCCTCGTGGAACAGACTCTCTGAGCCCGTAAACACGTGGACCAGTCTGAAACTGCTGTCCTGCCAGAGAACGGCCGTCTGAGAGGTGTCCACGTCGTACAGCCTCGTTTGAATCACGTTACATTCGGGGCTGTCGGGACTAACGGGCTTGAACTCGTCGTCAAAGAAGGTGGGGTTTGTCTCTGTTCCACCGATGGGTTGAGAGCCGTTCAGACCGTGGTAGAGCTTGGTGATACCGGTCGGGTCCATGTTGGTGTTTAGCTCCACGTGGTTCCAGGTCGTGCACTTGTCCAGCACCACATAGGTCTTGTAGGCCGTGCAGACAAAGTAGGGGTGCCAGCCCATGTAGAACGGCATGGGAAACGACTCCATCCGATTGGTCACAGTGAAATGCATACTGAAACCAGACTCACTCAGCGTGTAGTTGATGACTACGTCAACGTGAACGGGTATCCGGGTAGGGGCTTGTCAAAGTGGTCAAGAGAGTTGGAGACTGGCGCTCGAAGTGGTTATCTGGGCCGCCTAGTCACGTGAGCTTCCTCCCAGGCATGAGTCCGTGAGGAAGCAGTGTGGCGCGTGCTGTGGTGTTCTCAATGACGCGGGAGCGTTGTTTAGCTGGCATTGAAGATCAGACTATCTCACTGTGGTGGCGCCAGAATAATGAAAGACAGGCTTGATTGTGAACAATGAAGACAAGAGTAGATACTTAGTATACATTACCATACGGTGGTAACATTTGAGTACAGTGTAGGTAATGACAGCAGACCGATGCACGCTAGTACAAACTCAAACAGAAACTTGTTACATAACGTTGGCCACATGATGGAGCTTGTCCCCAAAAGCCAAAGAAAAGCAGGCAGAGAGGAAGGAAGCAAGCAAGGCGGAAGTAAACCAATGTGAAAACACAAAACTTAGACATGTGGCATTGACTGCAACAATCCCCAGTCCCCACGTCGTGCATTACAATGGTGACGAGTCAAGAACGAGCGGTCCTGATGCTGTTCTATCTACAGCATAGATTCAGGCACGTCGGCCATAGAAGAATGCTCAAACAGCAGGCTGAATGACTGGCGTCTTACATAGGCTATTCTGTTGGCCCAGGGAAGCAGCAGCATGCCCTTCCACCACTTGTTCTCCAGCACAGCGGTGGCGGTCGTGGTGCGTGAGGAGAACCTTCCTCTGGACCCCAGTGGTGCGAGAGTGTAGGACCAGGTCCTCCACACGACCTCCATAGTCCACGATCGTCTCCACTACTCACCTGCGCACGCACATGTGACCCTAACTAGCTATTAGAGACAATTGAAACTCACTTGTATCATCGTTCTGGATCGCTTTGCTGCCAGTACGCCTCCTATTGTGGGTCCACGATGGAGTGTCAGGGTAGCATTTGATGCCACGGGCAAGAATAAAATAAGCGAGGCGAGACGTAGAGCTTAGAGCACCGGCCCAATCATTAGTTACGTTGTAAACACACGACGAGCCACGCCTTTTCTTCGCCTTCTGATAATGCCCATGCACAATGTGCGAGGCGCTATATAGAAGTGCTCGCACGTCATCAAAGACTACGAACCGCTCATGCGCAGTTGGAATCGATTCCCCGCTCGCCAACCCGACCCGGGGGGCGTAGCTACTAGCATTGAGGCAGAGGAGGCAGTTGCTCCCCTGTTTTTGCCGACGTATGAATAATTTATACAACTTTCGCAGTGTAACCGACAAGCGCCAGCAGCGAGAGCATGCAGTTAACAATCAACCAAGAGCGGGACATATCCTTACAAGCCGGGATATAATTATAGCTCCGGGTCATT